AAATAGGAATGATCATACCAGACACGGATTACAACTTAATTCAGAAGGCAAGTAGAAGCTTGTGAACTCACTGCTAATTAGATTAGGTGCAAACTGGATACCTGTAATCACTGATGTAAGATCTAACCCTTCTTTTAGGCTTAAGCCCAAATCTGTCACCAAATACCTGAAAGATGTCTACATCAATGCTAATAAACCAGTTCTAAATTCAGAATACAATCAAGATAACAATTCTGTGGTGCACCATCATAACATAAGAGGACTTTCAAACAAAACTGATCAACTATCAGTGTCCATTAATAATATATACACACCCTAATCTGTGTTTAACCCAACACCAGAGGTAAAACTTGAAAATGTTACTTTTGGAGGTACTTACTCTAGACGAAATATGGTAAAAGAAGGTGCCAATTTCTCTTGGCAGCTGCCTTCTTCGTTGCCTTGGATTTTGCAGTAGTCTTCGGTCTCGGCGCTTCGGCTTCTTGGTAGGGACTTTTGTAGCTTTCTTAGCCTTAGATGGCAATTTCTTGGCCTTCGGCGCTGGAACCTGCTTCTTTTTCTCAGGAGTCTTCTTCACCGGCGTTTTTTCGAAGATTTCAGCTTTGCCTTTGTAGGTTGCTGCTGTTTCTTTTCCTTCGGTGCAGACGTTGAAGAACTCCTGCCGCGAGCAGTAGTAACTACTGTCGGAGCCTTCTCAGGCTTACCAGAGGATAACTTGAACGAACCAGAAGCTCCTTTGCCTTTGGTCTGCACAAGCTCTCCCGATGCTACGGCTGACTTGAGGTACTTTTTGATGAACGACGCCAACTTTTCAGAATCGACCTTGTAGTTTGCTGCAATATACTTAATTAGATAAATGTATTGTGTCACTAAAATAACAAGAAATAGAAGCTGCATTGTGCAATTGGAATCTAAACATTCCAACATATATGTCCTAGCTATATATAGAGCCCCCACTGGCAATGCTGACTTTCCTAAACAAGTTACAAAGCATTATAAATTATCTTTTTAAACCTACAGCACAACATCGTCAACTGTGGTCCCATTATCATCAATACAAATTATCTTATTGAAAGTCACCATAAAAATGTGTAAAATGCCCGAGTAGCATTTTTCAATGTCATGGCAATAGTTAATTTCCCCATAAGAATCCAAAATTACTCCATCTGATCACGATGTACAACTTCTAGTAATATTAATAATAAAAAAGTCGATCTCCAGTTATCATAAGTACAGAATATCAATCAGACTCAGAAATGAAGACACTATTAAAGAATGTACAACACATGGATTGAAAATTGGCACTCAGTATGAAACAGCCTTGATGTAGATTTAAAATTCAACACATTCCTAAATAATCTCTTAAAAATGTATAAGCAAGTTTCACCA